ATGTAGCAATGATGTCCCTTAACTCTTATATTTCCCTTTAGTGCATGGCCTTTATTTCCTCTATTGTTTCATCCTTTTTCTATATTGCTTCCCTCATATCCTGTATGACTCCAAGCAGCATTCTAAAGATTTCTTTAGATCAATGTCTGCTTCTTCTATGCATGTCGTTAGGTTCAGGACTTCCTCTGACATTACATTTTGTTTCTCCTGTTTTCAATTGAGGAGCTTGGTGCCATTTTCCAGAGAGTCGAAGAATACTGGGCTCTCTCTTTGGGAGGCTGGTAGGAATGCTTCTGAGTACTGCCTGCCGCTCACTGTGCTGGGGTTGGGGGTGGGGGGTCAGGCTACCGGCTTATCCCACTGGGGTTTCACTCTCTTCCTAGCCAACCCGTATTCTGTTATTTGGAAGGCAAGTTCGATGGCCCTCTCAGGGGACACTGATTGGATGGATGCAGGCCGCGACGGTGGTGCTGCACTTGTTAATCCCACGGGAAGCCATGGCAGTATGGCCTACCGAGGTGTGGAGTGATACAGATGTTGGGTGTGCATTTCCGCTGCACCGTAGAGCGCCGTGGGTGGCTGGTGGGGTTATCCTAGGCAGCAAGAGTGCTGCAGAGCATGGGCAGAGGTTCCAAAAATGGTGTGTAGCAGCATGTAGTGCCATTGCAGGGCTTCCTTAGGTAGTGTGGAGCACCGCGGAGGCCAGCCAGTTCCCCAGGTGAGTCTCACACGCACAATGTTTTCGGACCTACAGATACTGCTCAAAAACAGGATGTAGAAAGTGAGGCATTAACTAAGTCTACATGAAAGAAGTTCACCAGCTTATGTGACCCAAGGTTTGTAAATAATATAGTACATATATCAAGAAGGGAATGGTATCAGAGCTTAAAGTGTGCACACTTTATTTGCAGAAGACCATGGATGACAGTGGAGGCCCAAAATCCATTTGCAGGGTCCATACATGGATCAAGCCCCTAGGGAATCCCCATCTGGCCATACGTGAGGGTTGTAAATAGCCTTGCTGTCATACAGAGAGCATTTGAAATCGATTATGGCAGGTGTAGTTAGGTTAAAATATAAGAGCTTATTATTTGATCTTCCTTTTGACCCATTTTAAAGTTGTTTCAGTTTTTAATATTTTCTACTTTGTTTTTGATTGAGGTTTTTTTATATATTATGTCTAGTCATTATTGTTGGGGTTATATTGTTGGGGTTTTTGTTTGTTTGTTTGCTTCCTGATTGTGTTTTGTATGATTTTCTAAATATGAAATTCAGGATAGGTGGCTCTATAGAGCCACTAACTGGATTGATAATTGCCTTGGGGCATGGCAAGGGAGGATGAGAGGAAATGGGGAGCTGACAACAATGAATACAAGCAGAAAATGTTCTGAAATGGATTGTGGTGATGATTGCACAAATCTTATTAATATGATAAAATGATTAAATTGTATGATATACAAAGGATATACCAATAAAGCTATTAAACAACAACAACAATAATCTAGGATGCAGAACACCCTCTTTATGAACTGTGATGCCAGTTGACCTAGATGTGCCATGAAATGAGACCATGTGATCCTATTTAACTCAGCATCTTATTGCCAGTAAAGATTCTGGTTTTTAAATATCAAGGGTATTTTCATAACAAAAGTCAACAAAACAGATGGGAAAAATGTTAAAGGATAAATACTGAGCAGAAAGAGCCCTGAGACACTCAGTAAATACAATTGGAGAGTCTAACAAGTTTTCAAATGATTTCCAGACACAGGGACATGGAACACCCATTTCTGAAACAATGGCATGGAAGAGAAGAAAAACACCATTTGAAATAGAAGAGGCAAAGAGCCGAAGCAGAATCAGACTGCAGAGTTCGTGGGGCTTGAGATGGTGAGGTGGTGTCATTGTGCGTCCAGGCCAAGGTGGGAGTGCAGGATGGCTCTTCCAGGGCTGGTGAAGGGAAGGCTTGCCCTGATACCTGATGAGGCACCAGTTACCAGACATGGTGCTGGGCCTCTGAGAGCTCACAGGCTGGGTGTGAAGACAAGATCTGACCACAGGGTGGGCCAAAGGATCCCTTTGGAAATCAGCAGAACTTTTGGTTCCTGGCACTGAATTCAAGTTCCAAATAATGGCCTCTGTGGCTCCAGTGAGGGGGAAGTGTCCACTCCCTGTACATCTAGGTGTGGCCTTGAAAAAGGAGGAGACGGAAAAGACAGGTCTTCTGATGGCAGAAGCCTCACGGGCCATCTGGGGAAGCAGGAGTGGGTGTGGTCAGAGATCCAGGGTCTGGAATCAAGTCTGTCCTGGCCTTGGCATTTCCAAATGTGAGGCCTTGTCAACTTACTCAATCTCTCTGTGCCTCTCTCTCACTCTCTCTCTCACTCAGTTTGTCTATCTCTAAAATGAGCATCACAATAACATTAATAACCACTTCATGTTGCGAGAAGGGCTATAGGAGCAAAGAGCCAACACATAGAATATACAAGAATATTATACTTTGCCTCAGTCTACTCATGGTACCATTGCTCAGCTGGCTGCCAGAGGGTCAGTGGGAGCCGATCCTGGGCCTTTTCCCCATCAGCTGGTTAGTGGCTGTCTTCTTGATGTGGACAATGGTCCTCAAGTATCCTGTGGCATCCTCACTCATGGTATGGACTCAGGCTGCCCTCGCCATGACACAGAGGCAGCGGTACCTGTGGAGTGGGCAGGCTTTGGCCACAATGTTCCAGAGAATGGAGACAGAGGGAGAACACCCACACTTTCAGGACGTCCAGAACAATATCTAATCAGGGCCGTGGCAGCAGCTCAGCAACCTCTTCCAAGCCAATCATCTTAGGCATTTCTGGGGCCCACACTTAGCCCAGCTCTCACTTAGCCAGTTCCTGTCTGACTGGGGAGGTTTTACTGAGCATCCTCCCTCAGCAATCTGTACCCTAAATTAGCATTTCAAGTTACTTTGAAATCCATGCCATACAATGCCTTTGATTCAGTAATACTTCTAAAATTTACAAAGGGGTTCTGGTGTTAGTGCTTAGCTGCTAGTGGACAGGTGGTTTGTTGGACCTTCCTAGCAGCTCCTCAGGAGAAAGATCTGGAGGCCTGTTAAGGTAAAGGATAAGGTTAAGATAAGGATTCCAGCTCCCAATCGCAGAGTAGATCTGCTCCATAAGGTTGCCAAGGCTGTCATTCTTTACAGAAGCAGGCTGCCTCATCTGTTTCCCACGGAGCAGCTGGTGCATTCAGATGGCTGACTGTTTAATGATGAGCTCACTGCGTAACCCACTGACTCACCAGGGACCATCTAGTAAAGATTACAATGTCAAAGCTCTACAGGGAGGTCAGAATTGACTCGCTGGCACTCAGCAACAACAGCATCTTACACAGGCCCATGGCAGGAACCCCAGTTGAAGGGCTGGATGTCACAGCTATACAAGTGCACGGAGGACAGTGACAATAAGAACCTGAAAACCAGCGAACGGTTGTCCATCAGGACACGGTACGTGGCACAGACACGTAGAGCAGTTGCAGTCATCCAGCGTTGACTGGAATATTGAAAATGTCCACTGAACACCTGCTAGGGTGGAGGAGATATCAGCAAGCAAACCCAACCTTCTTCAGCCTCCTGGGGCCCTCGTGCTGGCTCCTTGATGAAGCTGCTAAAAAGACTGCCACTGGAAGGGTCCATATGGGACTACATGGAACTAACTCCAAGCTATGTAGGACTCTCTGGGTGGCAGCAGTGTTTAAAGAGCTGGGCTACTGATTGAAAGGTTGATGGTTTGAATCTCTCCAGAGGTCCCTTAGGAGAAAGTTCTGCTGATTCAGTTCCAAAGCATCACAGCCCTTGAAAGCCCTACAGAGCACGGCTCTATGCCAACATTCCTGAAGTCGATTCCATGATAACAATTTTTTGTGGGGGAGGAGGCAGGCTCTATTATTAAACAGAAATATCAGGTACAGAACAGTGCATATATGTGTAACCACTTACATAAAATATTCATTTTTCTTCTTCTGAAATTTTTCTGGAAGGATTCATGAGGACCTGAGATGGTGGTGTCTGCAGGAATAAGTTCTCAGTGATCAGAAGTCTGGTTTGGGATAAAAGAGTTACTTCTCTCTGTTTGCAACATCTTCATTTTAACCCTATGCAAGAATGAAAAATGAAACAAAATATTAAAATATAAGGCCTTTCACTCTGCCAGGAGCCTTCAAACCCCTTCTTTAATCCTCTTGACAGTTTCTCAGCCTTGGCATCGTTGACGTTCAAGGATCGGCAATTCTTTAAGGAAGTAAAAGAGCTGAGCACCAATTTGAAAGTGCAGCTGGAGGATACAAAGTCAAGTATGTAATGAAGTGTGCAAAGGCCTGGAATTAGAAAGTCCACAAAGGGAGAACATGCTCAGTGTATTTGAAGCTGAAAAAGTTGAAGAAAATGTTCAAGCATTGAGTTGCAATACCGAGGATTCCATGGACAAAATGTTGAACAATGCAGGAGCATCGAAAGAAAATGGAAGGAATACACAGAGTTGCTGTACTAAAGAGAACTGTAGACAGTCAACCTTTTCTAGAGGTAGCATATGATCAGGAACTGGTGGTGCTGAAGGAAGGAGTCTCAGCTTAAAGCACTTAAAGCATGAGTGAAAACGAAAACCAAGGCTTCAAGAATTGATGGAATATCAATAGAAATGTTTTAATAAACTGATGAATTGCTGGAAGCACTTTATTGATCTATGCTAAGACATTTAGAAGACAGTCACCTGACCAGCTCAAATAAAGGTAATCCAACAAGATGGATTGACAACAATATCATATGCAAGTGAGGCTTTGCTGATGATAATTTTAGAGTGATTGCAACAGGCCATCGACAGAGAACTGCCAGAAACTCAACCGGGATTCAAGAGGGGGTAGTGAGGAGATGCTGCTGTCAGATGGATCTTGGCTGTCAGCAGAGAAGACCAGAAAGATGCTTACTTGTGTTTTATTGAATAGGCAAAGGCATTTGACTTTGTTGATTGTAGCAAACTATGGGTAAGCTTACCAAGAATAGAAATTCCAGAACACTTCACTGTTGTCATGTGACACCTGTACGGAGACCAAGAGGCAGTCTTTAAAATCAGGAAAGGTGGGTGTCAGGGGTGTATCCTTATTCAATGTGTCTGGTGAGCAAATAATCTGAGAAGCTGGCCTGTATGAAGAAGAATGAGACAACGAAATTGGAGGAAGGCTTATTAACAGCTTGTGATATGCAGATGACACAACCTTGCTTGCTGAAAGTGAGGAGGACTTAAAGCACTTGCTACTGAAAATCAAAGACTACAGCCTTCAGTATGGTTTACGACTTAATATAAAGGAAATCAAAATCCTCACAACTGGACCAATAGACAACATCATTGGTCTAAATGGAGAACAGATTGAATTGCATCTTGTTTGGATCCACCCTCAGGGCTCATGGAAATAGTCATCAAGAAATTGAATGACAGATTGCACTGGGCAGATCTGTTGCACAAAACCTCCCTCAAATGCCTACAAGTGAAGACGTCACTTCAAGGACTGGGGTGCATCTGACACTGGTCCTGATATTTTCCATAGCCTTATTTGCATGCGAATGTTGGCCAATGAATCGTTAAGATCAAAAAGACGATGCATTTGAATTATGGTGTTGGTGAAGAATATTGAAAGTATCGTGGACTTCCAGAAGAACAAACCAGTCTTTTGGAAGAAAGATTGCCAGAATGCTCCTTAGAAGCAAGAAGGACTTTAGCTCACGCACTCCAAAGTCCACATTATCAGGAGAGACCAGTTCCTGGAGAAGAACAGCATGGTTGGTAAAGTAGAAGGTTAGTGGAAAAGAGGAAGACCCTTGACAAGATGGATTGACACAGTGGCTGCAACAATGGGCTCGTAGCAATTGTGAGGATGGTGCAGGACCAGGCAGTGTTTCTTTCTATTGTCTGTAAGATCACTATGAGAGTCAGAACCTAATAACAATGCTCTGTTGCAAGGGACTGTCCTATGCATCATCAGATGTTTAGCAGTATCCTTGGAGACCAGTGGCACTCTCCCCCGTCATTGTGACCACTGATCTTGTCTCTAGACATCATAAAATTCCATGGGGGCAATATCACCCCTGCCTAAGAACCCCTGCTTTGATGGACCAGTGATGTAGCGGAGTGGGAATAATCATTCCCATGGGACAGCAGGTTCAGCTCAAAAGAGGGTTTCCTTTGGATGGTGTGCTTCATTTGTTACTTATTATCTATCCATTCGTAGTTTTAAGTACCCAGTGCTCTTCGGTCCTTATATCTCAGGGTGGTACAAATGGTCAAGTGTTCTCCTACCAGCTGAAGGGTTGGGGGTCCAAACCCCCTCAGAGATGCTTCAGAAGACAGGCCTGTCGATCTTCTTCTGAAAGGCCACTGTCCAGAAAACCCCACAGAGCTGTTCTGCTCCACACACGTGACTTCGCCACCAGTCAGAACCGGCTCCGTGGGAACTAGCAACAACTGCAGTGCTCTTTCGGCAATGAAACTAGAAACGGATACACAGAAGGAGGACAAATCTCGTTGCTTTTTTTTTTTTAATTTAAAGATATCTTTGGATTAGCTTCTGGTAAAGGTTTGCTGCTAAATTTTGCTGAAGAGCTCCTGGAAATTAAACCCTCTGTACATACTCTGGCTATGAAGCATTTCGCCTTCTATCGCGCAACTAGTTTAAGTAACAACAAAGTTCGGTCAAGGCGAAGGGAAACTCACGAACTGGATATTTGATACTTTGGAAAATGACATCAGGCATGTTGAGATATGGAATTTCTTACTTTGTTCAAAAGCTACACTTTCCCCCCCAAATTTGGACCCCTCTGGTGTTGTGGGCCCATTATTCCTGTGCGGAGGCCGGCTGAGTCTAGTATCTCAATGGTTCCCCAAAGAGATTTGAAATAAAGGCCCCACAGCAGGGTCTGCGCTGAGTGAAGACAAGGATTTGCCACACGAATGGAAGCCGGTGGGGACTGCTGCTAGCCTGGGGGCCTAAAAACACAAACTCCAGGCTGCACTGCCCAGCAGACTGGAGCTGGGTTTGGACTTGGCAGCTTGCCAAGGGAGCAAGGGAGCAAGGTTGACAGGTCGCACTTTGGGCCAAAGAGGGCTGTGGGTCCTTTCTCAGACTTCTGATCTCTCAAGTGTCCTCTGTGTGTGTATGGTGAGTGGGGCCTGACAGATCTCTACTCAGACAAAAGCACAGCAGCATTTGATTAGTGCCACGTTGGGGGTGGCAAAGGGTGTACTAGAACCCCCAGGCACGGGGTCAGACACACTGCAGCCCAAAGGCCAAATCTCAGACACACCCCTTCATCCCCTTTCACTTGACTGCCTCCTTCGCATCCCTCTGACCTCACAGTTCAGATTGGCCCTCGTGAGGAAGGTCGCCGCTGACGGCCCCATGGGAACTCACCTTTCCCTGGGTGTTTTCTCCGTGTCCCCCCAGCCGCTGGTCTTCCTTACACGCCTCTATCTCTCTCTTCCAGAACAGGAGGGAGCGCGCGCGCGCGCGCGCGCGACCCCAGACTTTGTCTGTCTTGTTCCCTGCTGTGTCCCCAGTGTCTGGGCCCATAGAGAATACCCAGCGCATGCTGAGTGATGGGATTTGGGTGGAGCAGAGGAGTGGGGAGGGGCAGGGTATCTCCGGAGCGTACTGGGGAGGTCAAGGCAGATAGACTGAAGAACCCCTATGCTTGGGCACCAACGTGGGGGTTGGAGGACAGTGTGTGCGGTGGTTGCATTGTTATGCTCACTTGGTGGAGCCTGTGTGGAGGTAGGGGTGGACTTCAACCTGTCAATCAGGTGGTAGCCTGGGGATGCCTCCTTGTGGGTGTGGTCTTTTTATAAGAGAGGAACTTCTCTCTCTCTTCCTGCTCCCCCACCCCCCACCCTTCATCCTCCCTGCTTGCTTGAATTCTGGGTCTAGGGATGGCTTCAAGTGGGCTGCCACTGTAGGCACCCTGCCATGTTCCCTCGGACCTCGGATCCACGCAACTCTGCACCACTGACCTGTGATCTCCCTCTTGCCCGGTCCACCTTTCCCTTGCCCGCTGCAACGTGGCCTGCAGCGACGTGGTGAATCTGCAGAGGGCCCCGGCCAGCCTCAGACCCCTGCCTTGAGTCGGACTGGGCTGAGATGCTTTCTTGAATAAACTTACTTCTTAATATAAAGTTATTTCTTATACAGATAAGAATGTCCCTGGTTTTGTTTCTTTAGACAACCGAGCCTAACACAATGGGGTCAAAAGGCTGACAGGGGTGGTGGTGGTGAAGTGGGGAGGTTTGGTGGCCTGATTTGCACATGGAAGGAAGGGAAGGGTAGACAACCTTCTGCAGAGTCTGAGAAAGAGGGGAGGGCCGTGTGGGGTAGACACTCGAGGGGAAACCCAGTCCCAGGAGGTGCATTCTCACGATTTAATTTTTTAAATTATTGTGGTGAAATGTATACGACACAACAGTTGTCGTTTCAATCATTTCTGTGTCTAATTCAGTGACATTAATTACAGTCGCTCTGCTGTGCAGCCATCACCATTATCCGCTTCCAAATATTTTCATCCCAAATTCCTAGCCCTTAACAAACACTCTATACCCCTTAAACAATCCACCTCATCTCTCCCTCCCTCCCACCTATCCCTAGCAATAACTAATAAGCATTTGTCTCTATGCTATTTGCCTATTCTGCATGTTTCATATGCTGGGATGATACAATATTTGTCCTTTCGTGTCTGACTTATTTCACTCAGCATAATGAATGCAGATGAGGTTCATCCATATCATGGCCTGTACCAGCGCTACATTTCTCTGTCGAACCGAGTAATACCACACTGTATGGTTATACCACATTTTATTAACTACTCATTTGTTCATGGACATTTGGGTTGTGGCTAACTTTTGCCTATTGTAAATCGTGCTGCAATGAACATTGGTGTTTCATAGATCTGTTTGATTCCCAGCATTCTTTTGGGTGTTGTGACAGTTACATAATCTACTGTCAACTTGAGGAAGGGGTAGAGTCTAGCCTGTCAATCAGGTCACAGCTTGATGACCTCATATGGAAGTGCGATGGAGAGAAATAGCTCAATGGTGGCCAGACACACGCTCTCTCTGCTTCGTCTCCCTGTGGGATATTCCTGTTGAGAAGCCACATGGAGACACACTGATGCAGCCAGAGCCCTGGAGCTAGAGGAGCCACATGGAGACCCACACCAGCACTGAGATCCTTCCACCACCATTGGATCTACAAGACTTTCCACCCACTGGCCTGTGGTCTTCCTGCATTTGGTGTCATTGCATGTTTTGTGTGAG